TACGAGTTGGAGGGTAAGCAAATTTCATCACTTTGTCCACGAGCCGCACTGCCAAATCTTGGTAATGCAGCAGGCCAAGGCCATCCGGGTGGACATCGCGTATTCCCCTCGGTCATCTACAGGCGACAGCCTTGCTCCTTCGGTGCTAAAGCAACTGGCATTTTACTAGTTGGGTTTTGTCTTGCCCCAGAGGTAATTTACCCAAGGAGCTCCCAATTCTTTGTTTCACAGTTCTTGAAATCGTACTTGCTTCTGGTTGATGAGACCTGCTGAAAATGTACGACGCAAATTCAGTGAACCATTGGCATGTGTAAACTCTTCCTGCTTCTGATGCAAATCTCTTATCTACTGTGTAGCGCGCACATGCGTGGTGGCTGTGGTTAGGAACGTACTCACGTCATAACTTTCAGACTGGTCAAAATTTTGTCATAAAACCAGTCTGTCTTCTTTCCTGTGCAGTGCCGTGCCAATACTTGATCTACAACTTCACTGGTAGCTCTTCTTTCTGCCTTCTAAGGCTACAATGCCATTAGAATAATAATAAACTTAGAATAAAGTTAATAGAGATTTTTGATGCAGTGTTTTAATTGCTCTCTCCCCTCTTTTTTTTATGGGGAGAGGGGAAAGTCCTAAATCAGAGTTAATTTTGACTCTTCTTTGGCATTTCCCCTGCAGTTTCTCCATATTTCTTTTCAGGTTTCTTTCATTTTTAATGATATCCTCTAATGTTCCAGTGCATAATTATATATGTTACTTTAATAACCCTTTTTTTTCCCCATGGGTCTGCCTTGGCTACCTAGCTGCTAGACTGGAGCAAGAGGAATATGTTTTTGCAGCTTCCCTGACTGCACCTTTAGGATAAGCACTACTGCAAACTGAAAATTGCTAGTACGCTGATATATCACGTGAAGGTTAAAATGTGACTATTTTGCAAGAGTTTTCAGTTGCCAGATACAGAGGATCTATATCCTCCTTGTAGACAGAGAGTCACATGAAGATTAACTCTCTTTTTGAAAACTCTATTTTATTTTATGATGCATTTGGACATTACTGAAAGGAACCTGGTTTTGGTTAATCCCAGCCCAAAGATAGCACTGTCCAGATCAATAATACTTATCTGCTTCAAACCTTTCAGAACTGCAGACTGTTTTTAGTGAGGCTCATCCCTAGGAACCGAGACTTACTGAATTTAAGGCAGTGTGAACCCTCAGGATATGCTCCATTATTTCCTCTGCTTAAAATTCCCCAGCAGGATGCTCGCTTCCACCCCAAGTGCTTTGCACTCCTTTCCAGGCTGGTTTTTGGGTTCCTTTACCTCTTTGGCAGGAGCATCCTGCAGCATCCCAGCCCCAGGGAGCGGGCGCAGTGCTTTGGCCTCGCTCCTCTCACAGGCAGCAGCCAGACAGAGGGAATTTTGAAGCTGCCTTTATTCATAAATCCCTGCCTTCTACTGCCTGTGGTTTCACGGGTGGGTTTATAGTATGCATCCTGAAAAGAATAAATAAAAAACAAAAGCCACATCTGCCAACATCAAGGGAAATCTTTTAAAAGTGTACCTAAACCATCTCTAAGTAATCATTTCTATGTGGTTTTGGTTTAAAATAGGGCAGGAGAGGACTAGAGAGGTTCTTAGCCTAGTTATTTCTCAGTATTTTGGAAACTGTAGGTCATGCCTTTTGGGTTTTTCCCAGACTTGACTTCATTTGTAACCAAATAAAAACTAGGGTCAACTTTAAATACTGATTCATCACTTCCCACCCCCTATTTTGCTTGCCTGCTTTGCAGGTGAGTGAGGATGTCTGAGTTTGGATTTACTGACAGTTTTCAGGTGTCTCTTAAACCACTCATATCCCCTTAAACTGTCCTAACCCAGTTCTTTCCCCTTTTCCATCCTGGGTTCTTATCCTTTTGTTGTTCACGTTAACCTCGTCTGCAGCCCTGGCCCTGGCAGTGGAGACTGAAGCAAATGCAGGCATTTAAAAACTTCTCTGGAGCATTTGTATGTAGTCTTCTCCATCTGTTTAATGTGAATGTTTGTCTTGGTTTTGTCCTGTTACTAATGCACCTCTACTTATACTTATTATTTGTAGCACTTCTTGTGGGTGGACTCTTCTGATTTTTGTCGTATTGGGGGATTTTTTAATATTTTTTTTAATTCTGCTTTATCATTTTTGGGTATTTCTGACCATGTATGATTTGGCCAAATTTTTCTCATCGGGCACTGTCTTTACAGTAAGTGTGATTTGCCCTTGCACTTATAATTGTTGTTTTGATAGTGTGGTTTTTCCTGAGACTTTTCTTCCCATGAGGTTCACCTGTCAGCCCTCCAGGTTGTTTAAAACTTGCTTTCCTGAATAAAAAAACTTCAGATTTTGCCATTCTTTCATTCCGTTTAATTTTCATTCCACTCTATTTCACGATCCCTGTCATTTAGTTTTCCTTCTCGACATGACATAATGTGTTCCCAGCATGATGTAAAAACCTCCTCTGAGGTTGACCTTAAGCAAACCCATCTGGCCTCTTTAATATTCCACATTTTTACGTACAGCCTAGAGATGCAGAAGCGGAATCCATTACGTGTGTTACCGTAACCCCCTCTCTGCATGAAGAAAGAGCATTGCAAACTCCGTGTAAAACATGGTTTGTGTGAAATAACTCTTGCAAAAGAGGATCACAGGCCTTGGCACGGAAGTTGAAATCAAACATGTCTTTGAGTTGAAAAAAGGGGCTATGAAGGAATCCAGAAGTTCTCTGGTTTTGTAGAAAAAACCAAAACCAAACCCAAAACAAAGCAGAAGCTGAGTTTCACCTTCTGAAAAAAAGAAACACGGGGAACTGCCCATCCCTCTCTGGGCTGTTTAAGGTCAGCTGTGATGTTTCCCCAGGGAAGTCTGTGAGTTGTGACCACGGGCTTTTGCTTTTCAGAAGGTGGGGCTCTTCTCTAACACGAGACGGTTCCCTCCTGAAATGCTGATTTTATTACCTTCTCCCCTCCCTGCTTCAAAGTCCTTTGCTGCTTTTGTTGGTTTCTCCAAACACCTTCAGAAACTACAAAAGATGGCTCAGAAAGCAGGGAATGCGTGTTTTCAAAGCAACGCTGGTTGCTCCGTGCTTTTGTTACCACTTTTCTTTCAGCATTTTGAAAGAGTTTTGTATTTATTTATGAAATGACCCACGAGTGTTCTGGAAAGTTAAGGAATTACCCTGTTTTACAGGTAGAACGAGCAGAAACAGAGAGGAAAGAGCACGGTCAGCCGAAATCACACCCCAAATGGGTGACAGAGCTGTCCCCAGAACGGTGGCTCTGAGTCATTCATTTATTGCCTGACTGTTAGCTGAAACCTTATGGTACAGAGGCTGTCTTGTGCAGTGATTTATTTCTTCCAGAAGACTTTTCTTCTATTCTTACCCTGGGTGCATGATGCCTGGTATTTAGAGATGTGTTGGTTGGTTTTAAAAGGATTTAACTTGGGTGTTTCTAGAAGCGTGTTCATTAAAGGTGAAGGGGAAACTGCTCCCTTCTTGGTAGTAACACTTGTGCAGTGTAGGCAGAATCCTCTCTTAAAGACCACAAAACATATTCCAGAAGCCCAAATTAATTTTCCTGTCCTGCTCTGGAGTAGTAGTTACATGTAGCTGAACAGTCTTGACAGGTACCAATGATCATTAAAAGAAGGAGGGTGAAGGCTTTAATTTTCTTTTGTTCCCATGATTTTCTCTACCTTTAACACATCATTTGGCAGTGAAAATGCAACAATTACCGTAAAGAGTTATCACATGGGCCCTGGCACCCATTCCCTTGATCAAAAAAAAAATCTTCTTTTTTTTTTTCCTTTTCCCACAAGCAAAGGCTTATTGTGACCAAATGTGTGAATTCAGGGGTTTTTTTTCCCCTTTTCCCACCAGCAAAGGTTTAATGTGACCAGATGTATGACTTCAGTTGTCCAGTTGCTGTGTTTCCCCTCCTTCTCCCACTCAAAATTCCCTGCCCATTAATCTTTTCCTTCTTGGCAATTTTTTGCATGCCCAAATGCTTGCACATACATGGCTTCTTTGAATTTCTCTGATTTAATGCAGTCGAAACCATTGTCCTGGACTTTCACGGAAATGTAGTTTGTATTTGCTGAAAACATAATGGATCGTTTGATGTCACATTTTTCATATGTGACTAATCAGATGCTGACTTCAGTGAGTCTGGCACCAATAAGAGGAAATAAAATGGTCTTTCCAATGGCTTTGCTTGGTTGAGCTTGGAAACTAAATATCACCGTCACGAATGTCTCTTTTGTGAAGTGGTTCCTCATTCCCCAGGCAGCAGCTCGCCCAAATGTTAAATCTGTGAAGGGAAGGAGAAAAGTTGATTCCTGTGTAACGGTTGATGTATTTCTGGTGGTGTTAGTGGACCTGTCTGCATTTTGGTCGTATCTGCCAAGCTAGCCAGCCCAACCTCAGCATTGATCTTACAGCAAAACCTTCCCTTTCATCTCCCCTTCCTCCCCAAACCCAAGCAACAGCATGGGAAGGAGAGAGAGGCAGAGCAGGCTCTAATCAAATACTACTCTTCTATTTTGTCTGTGAGTCTCTAGTAAGACTCTCTGTGCCAATTAATCACTAGTAGCTGCTTGCTTCATTATGAAACATCTCCCTTATTTCTAGAAAATGTGAAATGCAGTTGTTTGTCATTCTCTTCATCATCGGAGTTTCTTTCTGGTTCAGTGTGAGAATCCCCCTGTGCTGTACAAGGGCAATGTAATGCTCCGCTCCAAAGAATATATCAGTTTGTAAGAAGAGGTTTTCAAGAGGAGGTGGGAAGGCAAGTGGCTTTATTTTTCCATTGCCTAAACCGAAAAAGAGGAACGAAGACCATGTGGGTTTGTGTTGTAAGCGGTGGCAGTGTGTGCCTTTGCAGTACCCCACGGGGACTTCTTAAAAATGGATAATCAGAAGCGACATTAATGTTTTCTTAAAATTGGATGAGGTGCTCCCGCCTGCTTTACGGCATGGCCGAGACGAGCACCTCTGGGGCCAAGCAGGGATCCATGCTCTTGTCTTCTCCCGAGGCGGAGAGGAAAGAACCCGCGTGCGATTGGTGCTGGGGGCTGGCACTGGAGAAGGACCCTTCCTGCTTTACTGCTGCTTCCTTAGCAAACCCGAGAGCTGCTGCGTTCCCTGAACCACAGGGGCGAGCGCGAGGGGGGCTGTCACCCACCCACGGCCACCCCACAGCGGTACCCGCAGCATGGGCTGTACCGTGGGCATTGCCAGGGAGCGACCCATCGCAAGTCTCACAAAGAAGAGAAAACCTGACAGTTCACAAGCACTGGGTTTATTTTTCTTTTTTCCTAGCTCCTCGTAAACTTTTGGACAGAATATGATCTACACATCAGTTTTATTGCTCTGAGTTAAGAAATTGAAATAATAGTTTCTTTTTTTTTTTTTTTTCTGGAAAGTAAAATATTTTTCTTCACGGGGAAAAAGAAAAAAAGGTAGTCTGGGTAAATACTGACAAAATCATCCCCGGTGCATATTTTGAGGACATTAATCATCTTTAATTTAGTTTGGAAATTAATTTGGGCTGATGAAATACAAATTAAATTTACTTATGATAGTATCTGAGAGCTGGCTGTTGCCAAATACTCCTCCTGTATGAACAGGTACGTGTTGTTGTAGAAGAAAATAAACATGAAATTGTTTGCCCTATCTTAGTAATTGTTTCCCAATTGTCCAGGCCTTTACTGGGCAAATAGAAAGTTGATGTGTTGGTGTTTTTTTTTTTAACTCTATCTGCACTGCTGCTTTATCAGTCTTCAAAAGAACACCTGTATCTTGTTTAACTTATTAATTCCTTCCATCTTCTTAGTATTTGGAAAATAAACTGGTTAATAATTTGGGGAAGAGAATATTTTACTAGAAATCTTAGGAATGTTTTAATTAAGATTTTGTTTCTGGAAATGTCTCTAATACGTAACTCTAATCCTGCCAGCTGTTATTCACCCAAACAATCTTTTTGAAGCTGCTACTGTTAAGTATAGTTTTGCAGGACTGGATCTACATGTAGGTTTTCCATGGCAATCACGCTTTCCTTGCTTCCATCTAAAAAGATGCTCCAAAGATACTGGTAACGAATAAATGGATGCGGCGGCTTTGCTGATACCTCGAAAGAACAGAGGTGTCAGACCTGCTGATGGTGCTGTGTGGTGTTGAAATACCAAACCAGTTGTTTCTTTGGTTACAGATTGCAGAAGGGATGGCGTACATAGAAAGAAAAAATTATATCCATCGAGATTTGAGAGCAGCGAATGTTCTGGTTTCGGACTTACTGATGTGCAAAATCGCTGACTTTGGACTAGCAAGAGTCATTGAAGACAACGAATACACAGCAAGGGAAGGTATCTCTATTTTTGTCTTTAAAACTTCAGCCTCTGGGAGGCAGCGAGGCTGTACCTAACAATAAGATGGTCGCCAAGGACAAAAAATGCCGTAACAAATTCCCTAACAACTTCCTAGAGGCAGCATTCTAATGCCGGCAACTTTTAAAAAGAATAAGGAAACAAATAACCTTTCTCTGCTCCCTGAAAAGTTTATTTTAAATAAATTTGAAGAACAAAGAAAACTGAGAGTACTTAACTGCACACAAAATTTTCTAAATTGAACAAATTAATTGCACAGCCACAGCTTCCATCCCACTGAATTAAATGCCAAGAAAACACGATCTTATTTTCTCTTTGCATCCTTAAGTGCCATATGCGCCTC